TGGCAGCCCGGGTTCGGATCCCAGGCGCGCACCGACGCACCACTTCTCCAGCCACGCTGAGGCCGCGTCCCACATACAGCAACTAGAAGGATGTGCAGCTATGACATACAACTGTCTACTGGGGCTTTGGGGGAAAAAAAATAAATAAAATTATAAAAAAAAAAAAGTCACCTCAATAAATTTTAAAATAATAATAATGATGTAGAAACTTGACCTTCCCTTTATGCTTTTGAAGGAAATGTGGAAAACAGGCCTTAATACAACAAAAAAATTTTAATACAATTTCTGTCTGTGTGCACTTGAGGTACTCCACCTACAGGTCAAATAAAACATCTCTGATTGTGGACCTCGGCACTCTCTGTGGGTGCTCTCTGCAGCTGTTCCATCCACGGCTTTGCTGCCACGGTGGTCTGGGGGAATATCCCTAGCTCTAGGGTGAGCATGAGGGAACCCCAGGCAAGGGAGGGGTGCTGTCTGAGGTGTGGTTGTAAAGCTCCGCATCTGGGACAGCAGGGGCAAGAAACAACCTGGGAGCACTGAGAAGTCACCTGCTGGCACACCCCTCCAATGAGATCGGCTGGTGTATAAGCACTGACGGAAGGAGACAGACAGCCTTTCAGTGTCCTCTCCCTTTTCTGGAACATTCTGTACCCCCGCCTTGCTCCTCCTTGCTTCTCGCTTCTGATTTGAGTGTCACTGGTACTCACTTCCTTTCTTGGAAACCCCCTCCTGAAGCCACCCTGCTGCTGCCTTCCCTCAGGTGCTTGGGCTGAACCACCTCCCCTTATTCAGAATTAATAAAATGACAAGAAAATAAAAATTCCACTCTTTAGCAGGGCCCTCGTGAAACTGCTGCAGAATTGAGATTAGGTGATCAGGCTTTCTCCCTTGAGAGTGACAGGCCCCCAGCTTCATCGGCGAAATTCATTTTCATGAGGCCTACTGTTTGCTGCCCATGAATATCTCATCACCAGAATCATTAGCAGGAATGTTTGGCAGGGTTTGACATTTCCATTTAGAAGATGAATTAATTCTGAGCTGAGCCAAGAGTCCCCTCTCTCTTGGAAGAATGTGTTAGGACTCAAGCCCTCACAGGACCCTGGCACACCAACCCCATTCCCACTTGATGGGTCAGCTCTTCCTTAGGGGCAAGTGAGGAATTTGACATGAAAAACTAAGGGCTGCGATGAAAAAGGCATTTCCATGGTGGGTTCAGGTAAGTTTAGATACTATCTGTGCTGCCCTAAGACCCCATCTCCCTGGTCTCAGTCTGAAAGAAGAGAATAAGGGCCTTGCCCACCAAGAGCATCAGATCAACAGGGGAGAGACATCTGCTGAGCTCATGGGCTCTGCCTGTCCCTGCTCTGTGAAGGCCCAGCATTCAAGGAGCACAAAAGAAAGAGATTAGCTGTCCCTACATCAGGGCACAGGGAAGGCTGTCGCCTCTGGATGACTGGCTGGGGCCCGCATCACAATAAGCAATGTTTGCATCGGAAGTGATGAGCAGTGCGACAGATTGTTAGGAAAGCCTGCAGATGGCTCCCTTAATAAAGCTGCCATTCACAGCCGCCAAAGCTGAAGTGGTTTCCATGGGGAAACCCTCACGTTAAAATAGAAGGAAGTTCTTTTAAATTAAATTATAGTAGTTAATTAGATTTTTTATTAAACATCATTGAACTTATACACAGGGATTCATCTGGGAGGGCACTAAGAAAACCAGAGACGTGGCCATTTGCACGGCTGGTTGCTATGGACAAAGCATGGGCAATTTCTCAGGTATGCCCTTGACCTGAGGATCTTCGCTCCTCCTCTATTCTGATTCAATGTTAGGGTCTGTTCTATGCCACTCATTCAACAGCACTAGGGACACACACTAGTGAACATGGGAGGACTGGCAGGGCAGCCTCCAAGGACACAGCCCATACATCCATGCCGCTCCACGGAGCCAGCCCAGTGCCTCACCTCTGAGTGTGAGTGACACTGGTCATCGTCCTCTTTTGTGAAAACCCTATCCTCTCCTGACACCACTGGCTCCAGCTTGCTTCCTTCTCTTCTCCCTTCCCTTTTCTTCCTTCCTGTAGCAGACTATGGCACCCCAAAATATACCACTTTCGTATATTGATTATTTTGAGCTGTAGGCAAGAAACAGCCGATGCAGGGGCAGGCTGTCTCTGAACTCCCCTTATCTGCCTAAAAACAGATCCTCCAAAATGAACGCAGTTGTCATAAATCTCCTCCCTGGGAGTTTCATCAATCAGGGAACACTGACTCTTATCACAGGAGAGGAGACTAGAAGTCAACACCACACCCACACAAACTTTGTCACAAACTATTAGACCTCCCATCTAGTCTTCCAAGGGCCCATTCATCTTCCCTAAAAATCATTTACTCTCCCCTAAGAGGCCTACATCCCTCTCCCCTTCTCCCATTAAGATGGTGTTTAAGCCTGAATTCTAAGCCACCTCAGGGAGTGACTCATTTTTCCAAGTATCTCCCCTGTACACAGGAGGTATGCACGTTATTCAACTTCTATTTTTCCTCCCCTTCACTTCCATCTTCCTTCCTTTTTCTTTTTAAGTTTTTTTTTAGGTTTAACTTACGGTAAAGTATACAAATCTTAGTGTATCTGTGTATACGCATACATATGAACACACCCGCCCAGATGAAGATATGGAACATCTCCAGCACTCTGCCTGTGCCCCCTCCTCCCACAGTACTCCCTGCCAAGGGTAACTCTATTCTGACCTCGATCACCATAGATTATTTTTGCCTGGTTTTGACTTTCATATAAATGGAATCATACAGTATGTTCTCTTTTGTGTCTGGCTTCTTTTGTGCAACATTATGTCTGTGTTCCTTCTATTCTTATACCCCTGTGAGCCGTCACAGGCTTTCTTCCTCTCCGCCCACTCTAGAAATATTCATGTTTCCCCCATCCTGTTTCCTCACTCTTACACACCCTCCCTAACGATGCAACCGACACCTATGGTTGCCACTGCCCCTGTATTCTGCTAACTCTCCAATTTATATCTCCAGTCCAGACTCCTTGCCTCATCTCCAGACCCAACTGCCTACTGGAATTCTTTGCTTAGAGGTCTCACAAGCAATCCCGTTTTTCCAACAAAACATGCCCTGCCCTGTTTATCCCCACTCTCTCACCCCCACTCACCCAGAAGCCAAGCTGAGTCATCCCAGGAGCACCCAAAAGCCTTCGACACCCTTACCTCCGATGTCCAACTAATTGTCAAACTGCTCATTCTGCCTTCTCAACATCATGGGATTCATTCCTTTCTCTCTATGCCCACTGCCACTGCTCCCCAGGCCCTCGTTCTCTCTCAGCTGAACACTCTTAACTCTTAACTATTGGAATGCCTTCAGTCTTGTCCCTCTCCAATCTGTCCTCCATACTGGCACCATGGGTTCAAAAGAAGCAAAAGAACACTGGATTCTGTGGCCATCACACATATACACCATACACTTATTGCTTACTGACTAGAGTCCAAGCTCTCTCTGGCCCAGCCCCAGGAAGGTTCCTTGTGAGCTGGCCTGAGCCTCCCTCTCAAGTCGTAGGTTCTGCCATTTCCCTCTTCCCACCTCCTCTCACGCACATCCAAGATGCTCTCACACATCAGCACGGCTTGTCCTTCAGGCCAAATGTCCTTCCCTGCTGTATATTGCTGGAAACCACCTATGCACACACTATGCAATTTAAACAGTGCCCTCTTTGACCATGTCTCTGCCACTCGTCCCCTCGCTTTCCTGGGCCCTGGCCCTACCTCTGGACAGTTCTGTTGCACTTTGGTTGTGCGCATCATTCTGTGAGCTCCAGAGGCCAGAGACGGTGTCACCTCTCTCTGGTCTCTAATGCCCAACACAGAATCTGGCACACAGCGATTACAGAATGGTCTGTGCTGTAAGGGATACTGATGGTGAAGATGGGGCAAGTCCCCAGTATGACAGGGAGACAGGGTGCCTATCCTCAGGTAACCCCAGATCTGCTCATGGAAAAGCCCGTGGGAAAGGACAACAGGGCACCTGATGGCCCTGAAGGGAAGAACGTAAAACTTATGGGGAGCCAGAGACAGGCCAGGAGCTGGGGAATCAGGAAAGAGAAGAGCCAACAAGGCTGCAAGACCCAGCTCAGAAGCGGCCAGGTTGGCTGGCAGCACTAGGAAACCCCAGGCCCGAGCTGCTCTTGCTCCTGAGGCCCAACAGTCTTGGCAAGTGGAGTCAGGCTGCTCCTTCTGTTTTCAATGGCATCTGGCCCAGATCCCAGACCACAGCGAGGCTCTTCTAGGCCCAGAGCACAGCGTGGAGCTGCGCGAAGACCAGCAAGTCTCCTCACCACACATTCACATTCCCAAGACAACACAAGTAAGGGTACAGTCAGCACCTCTGACCTCTGTCCACCCGCAGCTGAAGAAAGCAGATCTCCCCTCCTGAGTTCTGGGAGCCTGGAATGGTCCACCTTGAGGATTCCTGGGTAGGCTTAGAGACTCTTTCTTGGCTATAACACATCACATCCATAATCACTCAGGAAAATAAACAGAAAAAATATGCTGGATGACAAAGTATAGGTAAGTCCTGCAGCAGGGACACAATGTTGGATCCCACCGTCCTCCTCCACCCCTCCTGCTGTGGCCACTAGACAGGAGCCTGGAAGTGCTGGCTCTTGCAGGAGACTGAGGCTGCAGACAGGCCCAGATGAGGACTCTCATCATCACTCGGCAGAAGCAAGGCCACCCACAGCCAAGGCATAATGGCTCAGGGAGAGCTAGATCACGTATTTCAAAGGGCAGCACACGCCCTCCTGACCCACAAGGCCCCCCTGGGAAGACGGTGCCTCACCTCATCTCCCCAAAACGTCCTGAGGCCTGCCCACGCTGCCCTGGCCTGGGTGGGCTACCCAGCCTACGTTAACTATTCCTTATCTCCCACCGCCACTGCACACATTTTTGCAAATTACACACCTCAACCCACCTCCAGCAGTGATTACTTACCCCAGCCCTCCCACTGCAGCCGCGGCCTACTTCCCCTGGTGCAATTCTTTCTGACACTCAATAAACAGGTCCCGACTAAGGGAGGGATGGGCAGACACATCAAGTTATAAACCGTTTTTCCAAATGACCGTTTCTTCGAGGACATAATTCCAGAGGAGAAAAGGGAACAGACACCAAGTATAAACAAAGGCTTTTCTATGTGACTCTACTTTAATTAGAATGACAACTAATTGAAAGCAATTTAATGTTGGTTCATGAAAGGTTAATGGAATTCACGTTTTGGAGATGCCAATTGCAACAGAGACTTAGCCAGAAATACAAATCTAACCTTTATTCTCTTTAATTATTTGGTCAGAATAATTTCTTGTGAGCAGGTTTAGTCTCTGGAAGGCTTTAATTAAACACCACTGAACTTTGAAGTGGACATCAACTCATCCAGCTGCAACTCAATTTTCAAATTACTCTGCTGTCTAACATGGAGGGCTCGTGGCCTAAGCAGGAGAACTGTGGGGGAGGGGACGGTGGCTTGGAGCCTGACAGGTACACACCAATTCTGGAACATCCTACATCTTTCCCACACCCTCACCAGTGGCAAGGCACTTCTATAACCTGTGCCAGGGCCTCCCTGAGGAGAGGGGCCCGGGCTGAGCTGAGCAACCAAGCTGCTTCCTTCCTTGGCTTTTTCCACAGTCCTGGACTCAGGCTCCACTCTCTCAACAACTTAAGTGTCAGCCTGTACAGCCAGACCCTCAAGTGGGCCCAGGGGCCAGCAGACCCCGGCCCAAGCGCCTCTTGCCTTCCTGCCCTCTTCCCACTTGTCTCTCCCCTTTGGCGTGCTGAAATGTACAGGAGCCCTGGCATGGCCTTCCTGCAGCTAGGTGCCCTCAGGAAACCCCCCTATTTCTGAGCCAACTTCCCAGCACTTCACCAGGCCTCAGGTACCAGCCTGCAGTCTCAACCTCTCCTTTTCTGCTTTTGAAAACCCTGGTCCCGGGCCAGCCCCGTGGCTTAGTGGTTAAGTGCGCGCGCTCCACTGCTGGCGGCCCGGGGTTCGGATCCCGGGCACGCACCGCCGCACCGCTTCTCCGGCCATGCTGAGGCTGCATCCCACATACAGCAACTAGAAGGATGTGCAACTATGACATACAGCTATCTACTGGGGCTTTGGGGAAAAATAAATAAATAAATAAAAACTAAAAAAAAAAAGAAAACCCTGGTCCCTAATTTTGTCAGTTGTACTCTGTAGCCATACCAAGGCCCTTTTTCCCCCGACTGGGGGGCAAACCCACCATTTCTTACAGCCTAGGGCAGCCTCAGCCGATTTCCACTGGCATGTGATATTTGGAGCTGGCAAAGATTCCAATCTGGCTAGTATATGTTGGACAGTGTGAAGGGCCTGTGCTGCAGCCCCGAGGTACAACCAGGTGACCACGACAAAGCTCAGTGTCATGGACAAGGTCAAGGCAAGGGAAGACACCATGTCCCAAGAGACCTGTGTCAGAACTTGAGGATAAAAATATTATCTAAAGAATGTTATTCCTAGCCACTCTGTTTGCCCCGTTCCCATTAGTATTTTGTAGCAGCTCCCTTAGAAATGAGCTCTAACAGACTCTGGACCCTGAGCAAGCAGCATCTGGTCTCAATCCACCCACCCCAACACATCCTGCTGCAGTACGGCACTCCGTGCACGCTGGAGCCATACAAGGGTCAGGATTCCTGATTCAAGCTTATGCAAGTGACAGCTGCTGACGGCACAGATTGCAAGTGACCCATCCCACTCCTGTCCTACCTCTGGAGGTGGCTGAGCTGCCCCAGTTGCTCTATTCATGTAATGAGAGCAAGAGGCAGCTGATGCTGCCCCCACAATCATGGGGGCCAACCCCCTACAGCCAAGGTGCAACAAATTTCCCAGAACAGAAGCCACAGTCAGGCTTCCTCCAGCCACACACACCCAGGGGCAGCCTATCTTAAGCAATCAAACCCCAACAGTCACACGGAGCTCCCAGATCAGGACCGTGAGAGATAACAGTGGAATTCCTCCATAACAAGAGAGTTTCTTGGCCATCTGGTTTACCAACTCTAAGAGACTGAGATACATCCCAAAAAAGACCTAAAAATTCTTAAGGAGTTTCGTTAACTATAATCGCTGTGCTTGCCTACAAAGGCAAAGGTATCTGATTCATCTCGGGGTCCCTGGCACCTAATAGTGTGTGCTTTTGCACACTAATTAAATATCTGGAAGAAGCAGAGAAGTTGTGGAACTCTTTGATGAACGTGGATCAGAGGAGGCCCTGGACAACCAAGGATGACGGCCAATGAACCTGACAAGAGGAGCACTAAGGACAGACCCACTTCTCAACCAACCCAACTTCGGCAGTCTTTGTGCTAGATTAAAGAGAGATCCAGGGCTGGCCCCGTGGCTTAGCGGTTGAGTGCTCGCACTCCGATGCTGGCGGCCTGGGTTCGGATCCCGGGCACGCACCGACGCACCGCTTCTCCGGCCGTGCTGGGGCCGCGTCCTACATGCAGCAGCTGGAAGGATGTGCAACTATGACATACAACTATCTACTGGGGCTTCGGTGGAAAAATAAATAAATAAATAAAATTAAAAAAAAAAAAAAAAAAAAGAGAGATCCAACTCAGGATATGTGCACATCAAATAAATGTATTAAATCACTGGGAACAGATAGTATCAGAATTTCTAAGCAATCAATCACTATTGACCCTGGTGTAACCTCTAGCTACTGAAGATTAACGGGCCAAAAAGTGAGAGGTTTGAACACTTCCAACCACAAGAAAAGTCTGAAAGAAGACTTGGGAATCAGGAACTTCAATAGCAGACAAGCCCGAGGAGCCTGTGCAGAGCCACACACATAAAGGGGAGGAAAAGCACATAAACCAAAGAAAGCTGGCCATTTATAAAACAGCCATTTCCAAACTTTCTTGCTCTTCTGCACCCTAAAAGAATTCTGAACATTTTCACTCATCCATCTAGAATTTTACCCCCAAAATTTTAGCCTAATATAGGCTTGAAAGTCTCTTATTGATCACACTTATAATTCTCTGTAACATATTAAAATTTAAATTGGGTTAAATTTCCTCTGACCATCAACTCTAAGTGTTAAAAAATATTTTCTTCAGGATTATTACAATTACTGTTAGTACATATTTGATCAAAACGACAGAATACAAATACTGATAATTATTAAATACAAGCAAAATTTTACTAGAAATGCATCCCAATTAGAGGGAGGGAACTGGTTCATGTTTCCATGGATGAATCCTGTTTACTGTTAAAGAGTTTTACTACCAATTCCATCCCTGTTTTTTATTTTTACAGATATTAAGCACTGAGAAACCTTGTTTTCACAAATAAATAGATGGGAATGGAAGCTTTGTAATAGCAACATCTCTGAATTCTTTGAACTCCTGAGTTATACAACAGAAGTCACGTAGTGATCTATTAACAAAATTATTTTTAATCATCAACTGACAACTCAATTGGTTCCTCTTTCAATTATGTTAAAAGCAAAGACTCAGAAAACTTGTAACTTGTAAAAGGATTTGTTACCCAGTCATTAAAGTCAGTCTCAACATTACAAGTATTTGGAATTATTCACACAGCACCCTAGAGATGGTTTTTACACTCTAGACCAACATATCACGGTCTGACTAGAATGCGTGAGGGGTTTTTTCATAGAGTGGAAAAAGATTATAAGGGACCCCTTGAGGCAGGTGTATTCTCAGGCAGCTCAATTTTAGGAAGTGCAATGAAAGCTGAGGACCTAAAAATTGATTCCCTTGAAACTATCCTTGCCTGGGTATCCCGTGGAGTTTTCCTACCCACAGGGGTGTGTGAGCCCAGACCCTGTTGTAAAGACCAACCACATGTCCTGGAGGAGGTGAGGAGAGTGAACATCCCTCTGTTGTTAGCATCTCATCCAGTCAGCACTGACAAGGAGGATGGTCCTCCTAGGAGTATACAAACCAACCTGGCAAGGGTTCAAAGTAAAGTGCTTAGAAGGAATAATCCTCTGAGAATACAGCGAAAGGCTCGGAGCTGTCAGTTAAGACCCAAGAACAGGACAGCCTAATCTCCTTCTCTGCATCCGCCCCAACAGCCTGGCACCAAACAGCTGACTGGCCCAGTAGGGGGTCACCTGACCCAAAACGGCCCAATGATTGTCTTTCTCCTAGAATCAGGGACTGGTTTCTGGTGGCTGGACAACCATTTCCTACCATGTGCAACAAGAAACACAGAAAACTGGTCCCCAGAAACAGAGAATTAAACAATGCACAGCCAACAGAAAGGACAACTGTCTTGGTCCCAAGCTAGTCCTTGTGAGGCCCAGCTCCACCTTGGTTCTGGAAAATCTCTTCTGCATTGGCTGGTTTTAATGAATTTCTGGGACCTGCAATCAGAAGAAGTTTGGCTCAGACAGGAGTCAGTAGAGACTGTTCCTGAGGCTGGGGGCTGGCCCCTTGGCTTAGCAGTTGAGTGCACCTGCTCCGCTGCTGGCGGCCCAGGTTCGGATCCCCGGCGCACACCAACGCACCGCTTCTCCGGCCATGCTGAGGCCGCATCCCACATACAGCAACTAGAAGGATGTACAACTATGACATACAACTATCTACTGCGGCTGTGGGGTAAAAAAGGAGGAGGATTGGCAGCGGATGTTAGCTCAGAGCCAGTCTTCCTCAGCAAAAAGAGGAGGGTTAGCATGGATGTTAGCTCAGGGCTGATCTTCCTCACAAAAAAAAAAAAAAAAAAAAAAGCTGTTCCTGAGGAAGTCAAACCTGATGGACCAGTGACATTTATGGCACTATCAAAAGTACCTGGGGGCTAGCCCCGTGGCCTAGTGGTTAAGTTCAGCGTGCTCCACTGTGGGCCCAGGTTCACAGGTTCGGACCCCAGGCATGGACACCACTCATCAGCCATGCTGTGGTGGCGACCCACATATAAAGTAGAGGAAGACCGGCACAGATGTTAGCTCATCTCCGCAAAACAAAGCAAAAAAACAAAAAACAAAAAAAACGTACCTGGACATAAGTGGGCAAAGTACATGGACAGTTCACAAAAAATGAAAAGATTAAAAAAATTAAAGATAAAAATAAATTTTAAATAAAAGAAAGATATTCAACATCACTAATTACAATAAAAAGTCAAGTTAAACAAAAGAAATTTTTCACTTATCAGATTGGCAAAGATGAAAAGTTTGATAATGCATTCTGCTGGCAAAGGGGAGAAGCAATGGGTACCCTCATCCCTCATCACAGCTAGATAGGAACGTACATCAGCATCATCTCTTTTAGTGAGGAATACCTATTGAAATTGGAAACGCACATTCCCTTTGCCTTCTAAATCTCACTTCTAGAAATTATCCTACAAATACATTCAGCAATATGTAAAATGACATGTAAAAAAGATTATACATTAAAGCAGCGTTTGTAAAAGCAAAAACTTTAAGACTAATCATCAGAAGGAGACTAGTTAAACAAACTATGGTGTATTCATAAATTGAAATACAATACAGAAAAATGAGGCAAAAAAACAATCTCCAAACTAAGCGCGTGTAGTAGGAATGTATAGTACCATTTAGGCAAAAATAAAACAGGTAGAGAACGAAAATACAGTATATATATGAATAGAACATACCTGAAAGTAAACAGAGGAAAATGGGGTGAAGAAAATACAAGGTAAGCATGGTAAGCATCTTGTGTGTCAGAAAGTAAAGAAATGCTCAAAGACTGACAAAGGCATGTCAATAGGAAACAGAAGCCAAATTTGGGCTGAATTTGAGCAAGGAAATGAATAACGACAGAGATAGTTATTACACGGAATGAGAAAATTACACTGAAACTTCTTAAAAGGATGGTACACATCTTCAAAGAAAAATGGCAACAATGTAGAAGGAATGATAGAATAGAAAATCACTTTTTTACAACCACCTTAGTAACTAATGATTCAGTCAAAGAATCAACAATGAACACTAACACCGGGTGCAAAACTGCTGAGGATAGGATATTTCCAGTCTCAAATATCACCCCAAAGATTACTTATTCATTACAAAGGGGAAAAAGTATCTTTACAAAGGAAAAAGCTAGCAGACAACATCTTAAATTATCTAACTTCAAGTTGCCAATAATGGGACAGACTGGCATCAAGTACCACCTGATACAATAAGGATACCACATCATAGATGAATAATTCCTGACAAAAATGTTTTACCTGAATCCAATCATAAGGAGACAATTAGACAACTCCAAGTTGAAGGATGTTCTGCAAAACACTGGCCTGAACTCTTCAATAGGTCAATGTCATGAAGGACACTGGCGACTGTTCTGGAGAAGAGACTAAACGGACATGACAACTAAATTCAATGTGTGATCCCTGAGCGGATCCGAGACCCAAAACAAAAACAAAAATGAACTATAACTGCTGAACAGAATGTAAAATGGTACAGCTGCTTTGAAAACAGTCTGGCATTTCCTCAAAAAGTTAAACATGGAATTATCATATGACCCAGCAATTCCATTCCTAGGTATATACCCAAGAGAAATGAAAACATATGTCCATACAAAAACTTGTACACCAATGTTCATAGAAGCATTATTCGTAATAGCCAAAAAGTGGAAATAACCCAAATGTCCATCAACTGATAAAGGGATAAGCAAGATGTGGTATATCTATACAATGAAATATTATTCAGCCATAAAAAGGAATGAAGTATTAATACATACCACAACATGGATGAGCCTCAAAATCATTTCACTGACAGAAGCCAGTGACAAAAGATCACATATTGTATGATTATATTTATATGAAACGTCCAGAAAAGACAAATCTATAGAGACAAAAAATAGATTAGTATTGCCTAAGGCTAGAAGGTAGGGTGGGGAAGACAAGTGACTGTTAATATGCATAGGATTTCCTCTTAGGGTAATGAAAATGTTTTAAAATTGATTGTGGCAATGGTTGCACAGCTCTGAATATAGTAAAAACCACTGAAGTGTATACTTTAAATAGATGAATTATATGGTATATGAATTATATTGCAGTAAAGCTGATATTTTAAGAAACACAACTATAAAGGATATATTATTGGGATACCTGGGGAAATTTAAATATAGACTATATATTAGATAGTAGTATTATCAATGTTAAATTGAGTGTGACAACTGTATTATGGTTACAAAGGAAAATGTCCTTATTCTTAGGCGATACTGGCTAAAGTATTTATGAATGAATTAACATAATTCCATAGCTTAATCTTAAACGATTCAGCAAAAACCAAATGTGTGTACATACATTAATTGTGTGTGCCTGTGTTTGTGAGAGAGCAAAAAAAAGCAAAGATGGCAATATATTGATACCTGGTGATCTAAGTGATGGATATATAGGTGTATACTGTACTATTCTTATAATTGTTCTGTGGTCTGAAATTTTTCAAAATAAAAACTTGGGGAAAATACAGAGAATAAAATTTAGACTTGCACAGACAAATAAGGGCTTCCTATCCTATGAGAATGCTACCGAGTGTTTTCAAACACCATTCTTTATCCTCAGTAAGAGGTCACTGTTCTTTGCTATGGCAAGATATAGACCACCACTTTATATATAATAAAATTACACCTTTTTTCAGCCTTAATATAGGGTATGTGAAGTCCACCAATTGTGACAGCACAGGAAATTATGTCTAAATGAACTGTGTGTTACAGGCACATTTCACTAAGGAACAAGCAGGTTTCTTATAAGAAACCATATGGTAATCATCAATATGCCATTAGCCTCCTATTACTTGATTTTGAGGAAATGTCTTGTAAAGATTATCTGGTGTCTAATTAAAAAAAAAAGAAATTAAACTCAGGTTTAAGATGCCACTGGTGTTCTGAAATTATTCTGAAAGGTCATTTAAAAAGACTTCAAACTTGAGTTTTTTATCCATGTATTTATTCCATAATCAAAATAAATCATAATTTAAAGCCATAACATTTTTAAAATTTTTTATTTATTTATTTTTCCCCTAAAGCCCAGGCGATAGTTGTATGTCATAGTTGCACATTCTTCTAGTTGCTGTATGTGGGACAAGGCCTCAGCATGGCCGGAGAAGCAGTGCGTCTGTGCGTGCCCGGGATCCGAACCCGGGCCGCCTGCATCGGAGCGCACGCACTTAACCGCTAAGCCACGGGGCCGGCCCTAAAGCCATAACATTTTTAAAAGGTAAAGGAGAATTTGTGTCACATCTGCATTAATAAAACAGATACTGGTCTAAAGTGCAACACTAAACAGGTGTTCTCTGTTCCCATGGTGGAATAAATACATAACAATTACACACAAAATTTCATTAAAGATCTGAGATGAGGCAAATAACCCTTTGAAACAAACTACCCAATGAATACAGGCAGGCTGCAGATAATTTCTATTAACATTTTACTGCAAGATGGAAAAATCCCCAAGGTGACTACTAACTCAAACCCCTCATTTCATGTGCCTGGCCTTGGCTTTGGTCTTCCTTCCTCAGTCACATCCAAATCCAGAAAGGCTTCAGCACCCCTGCTCAAAAACACCACCATAAGTCCCCAAGGACCTAAGCACAGACTGCTCTTAATGAGCCTGTGTGCAACCTTCGTCCAGAACCTCCAGGGAAATCAGGAGCCAAGCTCAGAGAGCAGAAGCATTTCTTTAAACAGTTTTAACTGTCGAATGAGCTCTGACAGGCCATGTGCATTTCATAAACAAACCAAAATACTGTCTTAATATCTTCCTATTTTTCTTGCAAAATGTTAAGTAGACCATTCAAGTAAAAAAGGAAAACTTTACAATGAAAAATGAAAATTCCAAGGGTTTATGCCAAAAAGCAAACCAGTCCTCTGCAGCCTAACTCATTTGTTTCTGGGCTGTGATGCCATGTAGAGCGCGATCAGGCAGTAGATGGTCCCTCCCACTGTCAGCGCCATGGTGGTCCGGTACAGCATTTGGTCAGGCAGGCCCCGTTTCAGGTGTATGGGTACACCATCGGATTTCTTGAAAGCAAGAATTAACAAGGAATGGTTGATATGAAAAAGATTTCACAATTTAGGCTAATCAAGAACAAACATCTCTACTTGATAACTAATCCATCAACACACTGCAGTGGGAAAAGCCCTAATCCATTAGAATGCTAACTGAAATACCAGTATATTTTCTTACAAATGTCGCTAAAGCTTGTAAGTCCGAAGTCATCCAAAATGCAGCCTCAGGAACATGCACGCAACAAATTCCAAATTTCTAAGGAATTTATCATATATTGCTTAACTAGGAAAGGAGCACTGGTGAATTTTTTTACAAGGCAAAGGTAATCAGCAGCTAAACAAAGAACTATAGGCAGAAGAAATGCTCCACATTTAGTTCTACATTTAGTTTGACTTCTGATCATTAGTGGAAAAAGTCTGAGCATAGTAGGTCAATTAACAGGTTCAAGTCCATTTTGTATTCAACTGCCTTCTTTCCACTAAGCTGTTAAACCCCAGTTTAATAATGAGACTCCTTTATTTTGCACAGTCTCCAAAATCCCTCCCTACTGCAACTCAAGACCCCAAATGCCTGCTCAAGCCTTTCTTATCAGATAAAAAGGGATTAAACTGATCAAAAGTGCCCAAGCTGGGCCTGATTCTGGACATATTTTTGAGGAGGGGGAAGCTACCTTCCAGCAAAAGCAGTTGAACAGGCACTGCCAACTTCCACGGCGCCTGAGATGTACGTAGTCGGGTCACTGACCTTTCAATTATCTGTATGCAGATTAACGTTAATACTATTTTAAAATCCTGTTCTGGCTTCTCTCTGTTGATCAGCAAACCCAAGAGAGCTTCCTCCACTTCTAGCAGCAGCTCAGTGAATTTTAATATCAAGCAAGCAAAAAAAACTAGAAGAAAACTCATGGCCAAAAGTCACTACATGTGTTACAAAGCCAAACATATACCGGATTATTCACAGTGTTATTATTCATTATACATGCTATTACTTCCTCCATCCAATGGATGATCAGGTAACTATACATGCAATTTGAAAACCTGCATACCCTTAAATGCGGATGAGGAAATTAATCACTCCCCCCTTTTATCATTTTCTACCTACATAAATTTCTACTAGTTTATGGCTCAAACTAAAATCAAGAGAATTCTATCCAAGGAAAAAGAGGGAAAGTGAGCAGTAAACTAGACTAAGACTCAGTTTCATAAGGTTTTTTAAAGCCTATTTATTTTACGGGCTTCTCAGTTCTAGACTGTCTTCTCTCACCTGGAACAGCCTCTGCAGCTCTGGAACTTTGTTTCTCCCAGCATAATCATATGGAGCAGAATCAGAAGTCAGTTTAGTTGGTGTGGCAAATATGATAGGCGGTGCTTCTGTGGAAACTACAGGCTTTAATCCCTGTAGGAAAAAAGGAAAATGTCAAGTTGAAAGTATGTCTGGGCATCTGAACAAACCTTTCAAGGAGCAGGCTGTCTGGAATAGTGGAGGCAGTCATTCAACCACACAAGAGGGAAGGAAAGTCTCTCCAACTCTGTATCACAAGGCCTTTAATTTTAAGTTTTCAAGTCCTTAAACTTTCAACAAAACACCCTAGTCCACTTTCCCAGAGCAAATCCTGTCAAGACCTCCCTGCCATTACAATGGCGGAGGGGGGAGGGGGTGAAAGGAGGAAATAACAACAAAGGCCCAATCTGAGCTTCCAGAAATACCTATTGTGTCTATCTTCTTATCAAACCAGTAAAAGATCTATAATCTGTACAAACTTTTGGTTAGATTTCAAGAGAGACCTGGTTGTCCATTTTCTCTTCTGGGTGAGATGAAGTCCTAACACGGAATCTCTAACCCAAGAGTGAACTTCAGAAACTTTCCAGATACAAAGTAAAGAAGTATCTCAATCTGAAGAGCCTGAAATGGTAAGACTTGTCTTTCAGGACCAGAAAACAAAAAAACAATAGTAGAGTAACTGAACTTTCCAGCATTAATAAGCCCATAAATTAAAAAACATATACAGTAAAAATAAAAAGGAAACCTCAGCGTTCTCATCTGTGACACGTGTATGCGAGTACACATGTACCACATACACAAAATATCTACCGCTGAAAGGACTGCATGAAATAATAAATATGCGCCTAAAGCAGTGTCTGGCAGACAGCAGGTACTCAATAAATAGAAACTGAAGGAGATGTGGGGGTTATCACAGGTTTACTACTTGCAGCTCCCTCAGCCACGTGGATAAAGAAGGACAAACACACAGGCTTAAAAAGAACCTAAGAGGGGAGAAAAAGGAAGCACTGATACATGACACAACATGGATGAACCTTGAAAACGTTAACAGTGAGGAGAACAAGCTAGTCACAAAAGACGACGCATTATACGATCCCATTCATATGCAAGTCCAGAATAGGGAAATCTACAGAGACGGAAAGTCGATTAGTGGTTGCTTAGGGCTGAAGGGTGGGGAACAGGGGGTGACAGCTATAAGGTATAGATCTCTTTCCGAGGTGATGAAAATGCTCAAATTAACATGGTAATGGTTGTACATTATCTGTGAATACACTAAAAACCACTGAATTGAACACTTTAAACGAGTGAATGTATGGTTTGTGAATTATATCTCAATAATGCTGTTAAAAAAAAAAGGAACCTAAGGGAACTCTGGTTTTCTATCTGAAGGAGTAAACCTACAGTGGCAGATATATAGATGGTTCTCCAAAATAACCTACAGATTAAAATAAGGAGCTTAGAATTACCTATTTTACACAATAAAATCATATCCTTTTATCTCAAATTCTAACTAGGAAGAATAAAATTTTAAAGTTATAATGCAGAGTTCAAGCCCAGCCTCTTCCATTTTACAGATGAAAACAGAAATCCTTTGCCCAAATTAATACAGTCATCAGACTCCTGGTTCCTATATTTACTTATAATTGACAAGAACTATTCTAAAGATCACATATTGAAAACCTCAACGTTACTCCCATTAGGCAGGTATTAGGATCAAGAGGGCAACAAAAAGGTATTAAAGTAAACTTGGCTTCCCTTTCTTCTGATGCAGTCCCGTAAACGGGAGTGAATTATGGCCTTTTTTCTGTACTGCATTCACTCAGTCAACATATTTTATTGAGCACTTACTCTGTACTGAAAATACATAATGAATAAGACAGATACAATCTCTGCCATTACGGATGTTAATGTTAACGGAATAACAGCAGGCTAATATCTACTGAGCCTTTATGAAGTGTGCCCAGCATCATGTTAAGCATTTCATACACATCATCACACTTAATCCTAACAGCAACCCTAGGGAGAAGTTACCATTCCCTTTTTACAGTAAAGAGGAGAAAAATTGGATCAGAGAGGGTAACTTCCCTGAGATCACACAGCAAAAAGAGCGACGTGTCAAAACTAGCCTCTCTAAAGTGCAGAGCCCTGGCTTTTAAGTATTCCACTACCTGCCCACCCCGCTCCACCCCCCACTGCCCCTCAACTATTGCTTAAAAACAACAATCCATTTAAAGAAAAAGTTTGGTCAGTAAGCTGTTAGCCTACATTTGGTATATAACACACTCAGAAATTCAGAAGGAGTCAGAAATGGGAAGAGGGGCCTTAACCACTGAGATAATGCTAAAAAGCATCTCTCTCTGAATTGGAAAATTTTAGACACTCCCTTATCATTCTGTGAGCTCTTTGTATTTCCCCTTAATGATCATTTCACCTTGAATGCAAAAATTTAAAAACCCTTCCTACCAAGCATCTCCAAAAATGGTTTGAAATTAAATTCATGTTTTGACAGGACTAACGTGAGAGCATTTTTAGACAGGATTACACCTAATTGCTTTGTGTTTGTTCACCCATCAAGTGATTCAAAACAACAGCACAGTTTTTGAACAATATCATCCGAAAACAGGAGTATCAACCATCTTAACAGTTTTAAATAATTCCATATTTCCATTATAATATTGTACAAGTTTAGAATACAGGATTTTCAAGTTACCTATAATCCCATTACTTTATCCCATTGATTGTTATAATTGTATATTCTCCTCCAATCTTTTTTCATAGGCATATTTTAATCTTTATGGTCATGGTGTAAAATCCTACACTCCGCTTTTTTCATTTATAAGCATTTTTTTTAGGTTCCTACACAATCCTCATAACTAAATTTAGTCTTCACATCAACCCTGTAAATGAGATATGAGCCCATCTTACAGATGATTAAAACAAACTTAGAAATTCCATGAGGAAGATGAGATTCAAACCCACACATTTTTATTACACCACACTATCAATAACTCAGCTGTCTTGGCCCCACAGGTAAAAGATATGGATACGGTGGTAAGGTACTTCACCTACCCATCATTTAATCTCCTAACAATTTAGGAGTAGTCAATGTTTCCAATGTTTCACGGTAGCTAGACAGCACTAGCACTAGGGTTCTCAAGAGTGGACTTGATCAGGAAGCTGTATTTACCGGAAAGGATCTAGAGCAAATCCCTTCACCTATGCCTCTTCCAGGGCTGCGGTTGCCCCAACCTAAAAGAATTATGAGCCTCAAATGTGTTTCTCCCCATCTCAATAAATGACAACACCTTCCTTCCAGGTACTCAGACCAAAAACCTTGGAATTATACTTAATACCTCTCGCTCACGCATTTGTAAACCCTTTTGGCTCTACCTTCAAAATATATTCAGAATCTGAATACTTCTCACCCATCTTCACCAATCCACACTCTGGTCTAGACCCCTGGATTTTTACAACAGCCTCCTAACTGGTCATCCTGCTTCCACCCTTGCTGCCCTGCAGTCTACTCTTAATGCAGCTACCAGTGACTGTGTTAAAACAGAGGATGTCACTACTCAGCTCAATCCCTCCCAAACGCCTCCTATCTCACTGAGCAAAACCTAAAATTCTTATAATGGCTTCCAGGGCCCTATGAGATGCACCCCTCAACCCCCACTTACATCATCCCCTTTCTCTACCCCAGCCCACTGGACTAGCCCCTTAAACCTCCCAGACACCAGGCATGTTCCCTCTGCCTCCAATGCTCTTCTCCAGGTATCCACATGACTGGCAGGCACCCTCACCTCCTTCAGGTCTTTGCCCATATGTCACCTTCTCAGTGAGACCCGCCCTTACTACTCTTTTTAAAACTGCATGTCTTCTCCCTTACACTAACAACCTATCCCCCTTTCGTGCTTTATTTTTCTCCACAGCACTTACCACCATCTAACAGACTATCATCTGCTCCTTTTTCTGCGTCTCTCCCTACTGCAACGGAAGCCCCATGAGGGCAGGATTATTGGCACGTTTTGTTCACTGTTCTTCTTTCCCAAGACTTAGAAAAACCACTGGAATAGAGAGCATATTCAGGAAATATTTGCAGAATGTATAAATAAGCTAAGGAAATCTATAGCTTCACCACAAATACAGACTTGAATATTTCAGAACCAAATTCATGTAAATCAGGACTTGACGGCAGAGCCTCCCACATTTCCCAGAGCAACAAGAAGTGAAAAGTGTTCTTAAGTGGACTGTAGACCAAGTAGAAATCACAGGTTTTTGCTTTTTAATACTGAATCTCTTAGCTGTTTACACAATCACTACCTCTACAATTGCTTAAGAGCCATTCAACCATAACCACGTTTAGTAGTTGAGTTCTTCTTAGTCTATTATAATTGCTCCAAATTTTTAAAGAGAAAAGTAAACAAGGCTTTTTCCCCCTCAAAGTTGACTGGCCCAAAATTTTCCTTTTCTTCTATCTTTTAGGTTTGGGGAGGAGGAAGGAGGATGGAGAAATAAGAGAATTATACAAAAAAATTTTAATCTTTAAATCATAGAATCCTATGAACTCTTTCACTCTGATTTAGGACTAGAAACAAGTTTCAATCCACAGTGACTCAAGTTCTTCATTTCTAACTGCCAGCTACCTCACACTCTGCATGTCCAACATTCACCCTGTCTCTCATAAGCCTACTCAGGAGCTCCGTTTCTGTGGAAAGCACCACCATCCTCCCATTACCCAGTCATCTTGGAGTCGCCCTTCCTCATCCTCAATATCTCCCTCATCAGTTGTCAAGTCCTTATCTCTCAGACCTCTGACACTTTCTCCATTCCTACTCAGAGGACCCTGAACTACTTTATGGGTATAACAGGCATCCCTGGCACTGGTCTCTCCCAGTCAGATTTGGTTTTCAAAGCATAGCTCTGGTCCCGATACTTGCTCCTCCATCATAAACCTTCCAGGAAACTAAAGGTAAGAAGCATGCCCTTGTTTTAACCTCTGGACTAGACTCTACCATAACTTTGTGCATCAAGTTGCTTTGTAAATTCCTACTCTTTTCTCACAAAATTAAGTCCTACCATCCTAAGCCCTTCAAGATCTACCTCCATCTACCACA